GTCGATTTTCTGAACAAAAAATTGGATAATTTCAGAATTTTCCGAACAATTTCAAGAGATTTTTTTTTATAGGGTAGGAGAATTTACAGATAAGGGCCCAAGAACGAAAATAATTCTACTAATGGTCGATTTTATGAAGATCATTAAGAAATGTATAAACGAATGTAGATATATAATATCACGTGTAGTATGGCCATTTTATTAGCAGCAATTACCAATATTTAGAGATTATGCAACATAACATATTACTACATTATACTTTTTTTTTTTGTATATATATAGCCCTCACATGGTTAACCTTTCTTACTAGGCCATTATATATATATATATGTATAGGTTACTTTTCTTAATTATTATTATTTCTTATTGGGGGGTATTAATTTGTAGTTTATTGATATTGGGTGGAAAATATTATATCTCTACATTCGTTCATACATTTTTTAATGATCTTCATAAAATCGACCATTGGTAGAAATGTATTTCACTCACTATATAATATCACGTGTTAGACTTCAGAGTCTTGATCACTTAATAATGCATTTTTTGCTTGGTTCAGTATCTTGGACGAGATCTTGTTCTGCTCTAACATCCTTCTAATATCCCTCTGATAGAATCTTTGATACACAGAGTAGTTGGACCAATTTCCTAATACTAATAATATAGGGACATCTGATCTTACGTCCTTGGCCTTCGCAAGGGGATCTGCTTTTGATAGAATACTCTTTAACTATCATGAGATAGTATCCACTGAGGCTTGTCGGTAAGGTAAAGTGGTGGTCAGGAACAGATGTTCATGATGGTTTGTAGTGGTTCTCTATTTCTGGGTTCGTTTCTGTATAGATCACTAGGCCTAGAGCCAAACCTAAGGCGATTAAGAATACTGTTTTACATGATAAATCTAAAATTGACATATTCTCATTAGGACCTAAACTGACTATAAAATCTAGTGCAGATATAATATCTATTGTATCGTCTGGAGCAGGAGGTGGTGGATTTGATTTTTGTATTGTTATCATGAATTTCACTATATCCAGGTGCTTTCCTATTGGGTAGCCATCTATGTAATTATGTACTTCACTTATCGCTAATCTGTATGAAGCTATTGTATTGTACGCTTTCTGTTGGCTGCACATGTCATTTAAGAATTTAATTATATCTTCTATAGGGTATAGTATGGGATCTGCATTTTTTTATTACACCAAATGTTCTATTTGTTAATCGCAGATTCCACTATGATGTTTGACAATTTGTTTGATGTTTGCTCCACTCTTTTGATAGCTTTCTCAGAAAACCTCTTTGCTTGTAGCTTCGTCCTGATATTAGACAGATGAATATTTGCCATTTTGGATTGTGAAGCGGGTTCAGTTAATTTGTTTGCAATAGAGTCAAAACCTCATGTATTAAAAGAATTATCAGAAAGTCTATCAGCATCTTTATTAGTAGAGGAAACTATAGAGCTATTGTCCACCTGGGTACTATTACACAAAGAATTGCTTGATCTATAATTGTCTTGGACAATATCTTGGGAATGAGAATTCACAGAGGATTTGCCCATAAAGTTTTATTACTCCAGTTCTGTTTTAGTGCATCTGTAGCTAGTGCTAATGGGTCCAGAAATCTTAAATAGTAGTTTGTTAGTTGAGTATTTGTTTGACTAGCGAATAAATAGATTGCAAATGGACCCTATCTTAAATCTAGTTTGTTAAATATTTCTGGATTGAGTTGCCAATCTGGTTGTTCGAATTTGTATCTTGAAGCTAGGTCTGCTTGTATATTTAATACTCCTGGTAGGTATTGTGCTATTAAACTGATCCTCCTTTCTAGACAAAGGTTCCAGATATCTTCTGCTAGTAAACTTAGGTTTTGGGATGCAGTTCCTTCTTGGTAGTTTAAATAAGCTATAGCAATGTGATTGTCTGATCTTATTAGGATCATTTGATCGTTGACGTCTCTAAAGATTAGAAGAGCATAATGTATTGCTTTTAGTTCTAGCATGTTTATGTATAACTCCTTTTGTGCTTCTGTACAGTGGCTATAAATTAATTTGTGATTTTTCATTGCATCCTATCCTGTCAATAAGGCATCCGTATATATTGTTGTTGTTGTTTGGGGCTGAATTATCCTTGTTCTGTTCCAAGTCTCCAAGTTCGAGATCTACTAGTTGAGTTGATTGATGCTTTGTGATGACAAGATTAGGTGAGAGTTTCATTCTCGGTCTTTTAAGACTAAATTCTTGTCTCTTATCAATACCCTTGTTTTTAGTTTGGCTGGAAAGACTACCCTAATGGTGGCTAAGAGCTTTTCAATAACTGTGGCTAATTCTTTTATATGTAATAAATATTTTCTTGTGATCACAATGCAATCTTTTTTTAGGTTGTTAACTTTTTTCCTAGGAAGGCTTAGACTCATCTTTCTTAAGTCGATTGTAAAGCTGAGAAATTTTGCCTGTTGTGACAGTACTAAGTTGGATTTTGCTGTATTAATCCTGAATCCCAGGTCTTTTGGAAGTTGAATTAATATTCTTGTCTGATCTATTGCCTCTGATTTTAAATGGGCTAGTAAAAAAATATCGTCTAGGTAAATTATAAGCTTTATTTCTTGGCTTCTTGCCTATGTTAAAATTGGTTTCATTAATTTTGTGAATATTTTGAGGCTGCACGTTAGGCCAAATAGGAGAGCAGTAAAGTGGTAATAATGATTGCTGATATCGAATGCAAAGTATCGTGATGCTGATGATAATAAGGATATATGGTAAAAGGCATCTTGGATATCGATCATAATCATATAATTGTATTTTTTTATTAGAGATTTGATTGTTTCTATGGTCTTTATCTTGAAGTGTACTGGGTGTATGTAGGTATTTAGATCTCTCAGGTCTATAATTAACCTTACTGAACCGTCTTTTTTTGGAATAGTAAAGATCTTTGATCGAAAACAGGGGTATTTAGGTCTAATTTTTTTATAACATATTTTTTTCAAGAGCCCTTGTATTGCATCTGACAGTTCTGGAGTAATTACTTGATGAGTATTTAGGGAAAGGTATCTTAATAATGGGAAGTTATCTATTCTGAGTAATATCCCACTTTGATTATATAAGTATGCTACAATAGATCTGTTAATTGTGACCATTCTTTTAGATAAGACATCAAGCTCTTTCTTATTGGTATTGAAACTTCTTTTAGTTCGTTGAAGTGTTTTGGTTGCTGTATATTCTTGAGCGACCTCTATAGTTGTGGCTATCCCGAAATTTATTTTCCTGATTTTGTGATCAATTGTATAGTCAGTAATTGCCTCTTCATATTTAGCTGAAATAGAAATTACTTTTAAGATAAGAGGGTTTACTACTGTTATCTCTATAATTTTGTTATTTACGGTTTTCTGCCATTTTGTCAAAGAGTTTATTGGTAGAATTTTCTTTCTTAATAATTAAACTAAGTTCTTCACCAAACACTTCATCTTTATCTATTGGAGAGGCATAGTTAGAAGAAATAACCTTGAGTGATTATTGTCTTCTGAGTTTATTTGTATATGATAGAAAATCCAACAAGAGGAATCTTAAGTCTTTAAGTATAGTTTTAATGTATTCCCATGTCTGGAGAGCTTCAAAATCATTATCAAACTTTGTATTATAGATTGCTTTAAGTGAGTTATCCAATAGCTAAAGAATTGCAGATAATCAGTATGCCACCTTTGTAAGAAGCTTATCTGGTTCTTTAGCTTGAGAAGGTATAAGTTTTCAAATTCATCTGTCCATTGATGGTACCTCATACTTGATTTCTGTGTTTCATGATTGGTTTCTAAAAATTTCAGATCTTGAAGTTTTTGAAAGTAAATTGTCTTTGTATATTCTAGTGAGAAGTTCGAGCATTCTCCCTGTTGGTGTTCAGGAATTGTTGTCAAATTGGTCATGATCTGAGTCATCTGCAATTTCATCATCAGTATAATGTGGCTTATTGTAAACTGCGTCTTCGTTAGTTTATATATTATTTGCAGTTTCATCTGTTTGCATATTAATTGTGGTCTCATTAATTATTTTAATGTGATAAAATCGTATTGTATTTAGTACAGTTGCTGCCAAAATAAAACAGCCTAGTAAGAAGGGTTAACTATGTGAAGGCTATATATATACAAAAAAAAAAAAAAAGTATGACATAGTAATATATTATATTGCACAATCTCTAAATATTGGTACTAATAAAATAGCCATACTACACATAATATTATATATCAAAATAAGTGAAATACATTTTGTATTATATTAGATATAAGATAAACAGAATCAATATATATAATATATTAAGTCTTAATTTTATACTTTTATTTTTTTTATTCGAGCACTTATTTATAAAATATTTATTTAAAATAAATATATATTTACAAAATATATTTTTTTTTAATATTAAATTGAGGTCACGCCTCTGGTTTTTATTAATATATACTACTATCATTTACAATTTCATATATATTAATTTACAACTACAGAAACTTAGACTAATTTAT